GAAGTAACATAGTTTCTTTGTTATATTATGGTTGTTCTCTACATACCAATCACATATGAGCTAATACCCTCACATTATAGACACACCGTTGTAGCAGAACAGACAGAAGAATAACATGGTGAGATTAGGATTTGTAAAAGATAACTTTGGTGGGGGATACAAATTCAGATCTTAGAGACATTTGAAGTCTAAGTGCTGAGGATAGTTTGAACCATATTGGTTGTTAGCAGTGATTATGAATATAGACATATGTCTAACATCAATAATCTCTATAATAGAATAAAAAGACACTATTTATAGAATGATCCTTTAAGTCAATGCTTTCTAAATTCTGAATTGTAATACTTCACACCCCTGAAAAAGTAGAGGAGAAAAAATTTATGGAACAGGAAGGCAGAAATAAAACTTAATCGCATATACAAGAATAGATTTTAGAAGTCAGAATTCTCTTCTATGCCTGTGTATCTCCCAGTCTGTACTGTGTATACCCGGGCTAGGATTGATATGAGAATGGAAAGAAATATTGAAGAAAAAGAAAGCTCAAGAAATTAAAATACTTTGGATGTCAATATTAACAATTACCTTTCAGGACATTTGGGGATATATGGCTACTACACACATTTTTGCCTCTCATGTTTTTTGGGAAGCTGCTTTCCCAATGATAGTGCATGCTGCTGCAAGGGAGAGGCCTTTATGACTGAAAATGAATAGACTGGTGTGTGCTGCAAATTACTGTTTCTGTAGGGTATTATTTAGGTTGTGTGTATTTTTGTTAGGAAAAATAGAAATTCTGAATTTTTTTTATGTGGGACAACATATGTCCCAGTAGGCTCTTGGGATACTTGGGGGCAGAATTAGTGGGGCAAGGTATTTCCCTTGGTATGCTAAGGGTGGGCTTTCTAGAGAGGGGCAAGAAAAAAAATTCTTACTACGTATCAAAAATTTAGACACACTCAATGATCCAGCATGCTTCCACTACTGAAAACATGTGATATCAACAAAAAATTCAGTGCAGAAAATAATTGGGTCTTGAAAGGGTTTTTAAAGTTGAAACAGATAATGCCCACCATGCTCTTACAAGCTTGTAGGAAATAGATGCAAATATCTTCTGATTTCCTAAATATCTTGGCAACACATCATGACACAGTTCATGCTAAATGCTTGATTCCAAATGATAAGAATAAACTATTTATTTTATTAAATAGAAATAATAGTTTGTACTTTAAACTCCATTGTCTAAATCAGTGTTGCCCAAAAGAAAATAATGAAAGCCACAAATGTGAGCTGTGTGTGTAATTTTAATTTTCTATTAAGCATGTTTAAAAAATTAAGAAGAAATAGATGCGATTAATTTTAGTATTATATTTTATTTGACCTATTATATCCAAAATATCTTGTCAATGAATAATGCAAAAATTAAAAATGAGATTTTTACCTTCTTTTATATACTAAGTCTTTGAAATTTGGTGTATAATTTAAAAATGCCACACATCTTGATTGCAAATTGCCAAATTTCAAATAAATAGCCACATATTGTACAACGTTGTTCTAAATTAACTTTTTTATGAGCATTGTTTTCTCAGAAAGAAATTATGAAATAAAATATATATTACTTATATTTTCATCAGTATTCAACAATTGCTCTTTTTTCAGACCCGTTTCTGTTGAGTTGATTCCAACTTATAGCGACCCTGTAGGACAGAGTAGAGCTGTCCCATAGGGTTTCCAAGGAGCAGCTGGTGGATCGAACTGCTGACCGTTTGATTAACACCCATAGCACTTAACCACTGTGCCACCAGGGCTCCTTTTTTCAGATAAAAACCTGTTGCTGTTGAGTTGATTCCAACTCATAGTGACCCTATAGGACAGAATAGAACTGCCCCATAAGTTTTCCAAGGAGTGGCTGGTGGATTCAAACTGTCATCCTCTTGGTTAGCTGCTGATCTCTTAACCACTGCACCACCAGGGCTCAGACGGTAGGAATAAATATCATATCCTCTTTTATTTCTCCTTTAAGGAATGCTTATAGAACACATTCAGGCTTTAACTTTAGGAGACAACCTAAATAATATATTATCTCATATATTATCTCAAACGGATAAAATTCTCTAACATTAAATGTTTGCTCTTGAGTCTTTGTTAAGAACACTTTATACTCTTTCATTATATTTGAATATAACTAAATAAGCATTGAAATTGCAGCCGTCTGGTTTATAAAATGCCATGTTTTATACATATTTAATTAAACATTTATTGATTTTGACTTTAATTCACATATATTCACAATATATAAAATATGTATTCTGACCTCAAACATTTTTGACCTTTGAAAACCTCATAGGTTCTGTGCCTCTAGCACCAAATGCATAAAACCATCCTGGTTTGGGCCACATTTTAACTCTTCCTGTATACAAGACATAGTTGTTATTGTCATTGAGTCACCCCCCGACTCATGACAACCCATATGCTGTATAATAGAACTGCTCCATAGGGTTTTCTTGGATTGTCATGGATTGAATTGTGTCCTCCAAACAAATCTGTCAACTTGGCTAGGTCATAATTCCCCGTATTATAATAATTGTCTACCATTTTGTCTTCTGATGTGATTTCCCTTGCTGTAAATTCTATCACTATGATGTTAATGAGATGGATTATCAGCAGTTATATTGATGAGATCTACAAGATTAGATAGTGTCTTAAGCCAATCTCTTTTGAGATATAAAAGAGAGAAGTGAGCAGAGAGACAGAGGTACTTCATACCATCAAGAAAGCAGCACCGGGAGCAGAGTGGGTCATTTGGACCCGAGGTTCCTGTGTGGAGAGGCTCCTGGACCAGGGGAAGATTGATGACAAGGACCTTCCCCCAGAGCTGTCAGAGAGAGAAAGACTTCCCCTGGAGCCGATGCCCTGAACTTGGACTTGTAGCCTACTGGATTGTGAGAGAATAAATTTCTCTTTGTTAAAGGCATCCACTTGTGGTATTTCTGTTATAGCAGCACTAGATAACCAAGATATGGATGTAATCTTTTATGGAAGCAGATTGCCAGGCCTTTCTTCTGTGAAGCCACTGGGTGGGTTCAAACTACCAGCCTTTAGGTTAGTAGCCTATCAGAAACTGCTTGCTCCATCCAGGCTCCTTGCAAGACATAGGGATCATCCTATTCCTTTAGTTTTCAGTTTTATCGTCAGCTACAACAGGCTTTTGCTAACTTAAGATTTACCATCAACATCTTCTGTTTGTATTTTTTACAGCAGTGGCATAATTTACCATCATTCATTTCTTTGTCTCTTTGTCTATTTCACCAATCAGACTGATTTAGGAGAAGTAGGGATTATCTTTGTAACAAAGGACTTAGCGCATTATAGACACTAAGTAAAATATTAGACTAATGAAAAAATGCTTGTTACAAGGAAAAGCTCATTTTACTTAAATGCAGAGTAGAGGTTGTTCAATTTTACTTTTTAAATATATGAAAGTTGTAGGTGGAATGATGCCCTGGTGGAGCAGTGGTTAAGAGCTATGGCTGCTAACCAAAAAGTTGGTCATCTGAGTCCACCATCTTGCTCCTGGGAAACCCTATGGGGTAGTTCCGCTCTGTCCTATAGGGTTGTTATGAGTCGGAATCCACTCAACAGCAATGGATTTTTTGGGGGAGGTGGAATAAAATCTCATGCATGGATTTTTTGTTTTTTGCCTTGTGTACTTTTGTATTTACCCTTGTAAAGTTATTTTCCTGTCTTAAAATGTGAAGAAATGATTTGTAGATGTTCCATAGATGATCTGGCCATTTTATATATAACCCAGCACAAATAAACTTGACGGTGATGATAATAAAAATGTTTATTTTTGAAACTGGTGTTAATTTAAGTTACCTGAAATTCTTGTCGTATTTTTTTCAATGGTTTCTGTAACATTTTGCAATTGCAATTAGAAAACGTTGGCTAGAAGTTTCTGTATATTATTGGGTAGCACAGTGGTTAAAGTACTCTACTGCTAACCAAAAGGATGGTGGTTCAAACCCACCAGCTGCTCTGTGAGAGAAAAATGTGACAGTCTGCGTCTGGAAAGATGTACAGTCTTGGAAACTCTATGGGGCAGTTCTACTCTGTCCTACCTGGTTACTATGAGTCGGAATTGACTCGATGGCAGTAGGTTTTTTTTTTTTTTTTTTAACTATTCTTTAGGCAATACCATGGAGAGCAAAAAAGTAAAAGCAAGATGAGAGAAGCAAACAAAAAACTTATAATATTGTTTTTCTACTAATGTAAGTTGCAGAATTGGCATATATTATTTAGGGACGGTATGATTTGGAATTGACTCACCCGCAGTGGGAATGGCGCAAAGGTTAAGCACTTGGATGCTAGTTAAAAGTTTGGCAGTTTGAAAGCTCCATTGGAGAAAGACCTGGCAATCTTATTCCATAAAGATTACTGCTGAGAAAACCTTATGGGACAATTGTACTCCGTCATATAGGGTGGTTACGAGTCGAAAATCGACTCCATGGCACCTGAATAACATTTATTGAATATGCTATATGATATTAGGAAACAGATTAATGCATTAAGGGATGTAAGCATTTTTGTTGTTACAGTGTGCCTCATAACAACACACACACACACACACACACACACACACAAAGAAAATATAGCAATATAGGATTATCCAGTCCAAAATGATAACAGTGCTGAAGTTGAAGTTCACTTTAAATACAGTGATATGTGTTTTATCCTCAAAATGATTCCTAAATGAAACATTATTGCTTTTGCTCATAATACATCTTTTGCTTGATACTAATTAATTTTTTTTCAAGTCTGTAAGCAACCCAGGTAATTCATCCAAGTTAACAGATTGAATGAACTGCAGTGATTTTTTACCAATATAATTCTCTTATAAGTGTTCCCTCTGTTTCTTTAAATGTTGCCAGATATAATGAAACTTTGGATGAACATCATCATGTAACTTTATGAATTTAATGTGTCTTTGTAAATCTGTTTTATAGGTCCCTTTAGATGGAATGTAATACAGCAGGAGTCTTTTCGGCAAAAGGATTAATGCCTGCATTATCATTTCTGCAATAAAATAAGAAGCTAAGTGGTGGAGGCCACAGATACCTTAAACCTGGATTCCACGATTCTACACTAAGTGCTGGAGTTTTTACTGCTCTGCTGTTGGAAAGCTTTTGCCAATGCTTACAAGGAACTGTTTATTCTTGCTTCTCTGGGTCCTGTTTGATGGAGGTCTCCTAATACCACTTCAACCACAGCCACAACAGACTTTAGCCACAGAATCAAGAGAGAATGTCATCCACCTGCCAGGGCGGCAGTCTCATTTCCACCGAGTTAAACGTGGCTGGGTATGGAATCAATTTTTTGTGCTGGAAGAATACATGGGCTCCGAACCTCAGTATGTGGGAAAGGTAATGGCCTGTTTCTTTTGACAACCAGTTGATAGCGAGGGGGAATATGCATAGTATGTTGTATGTGGATGTTTTGCACAGGAGTTGAACAAACCAGTGACTAAAACACTGGAATTGCAATCCAAGAGACCTGGTTTCTCTTCCTGACTCAATGGCCCGGGTAAGCTTTGGAATACCATTTACCCCCTATTTGTTTCAATTTCTCTCTGATTATTTTAATAATAGTAGTATATATTTTGCTCCTATCTGTGACATTCTTTACAGAAGACATGAAGTTAAAATATGTAAATGTCATGCAAATACCATTATAATACATTATTGCTGATAGTCATAGTCATTCTGGAATTGTTACACAACAGACACAGAAAAAATTACCAAGGATAATTTTTTTTTTTTTTTTTATGATTGTGATTTAGGTGAAAGTTTACAGAACAAATTAGTTTCTCCTTCAAAAATTTATACACAAATTGTTTCATGATATTGGTTGCAAGCCCTGCAATATGTCAGCACTCTCCCCCTTTTTACTCCGGGATCCCCATGTCCATTAGTCCAGCTTTCCTGTCACTTCTTGTCTCAGGCATAAGTATTTGAAACTAATGTTGGTTTTTTTGAATAAATGAGACTATCTCCCTCACCCCCACGGAAAACACGACATACAACTTGGACTGTGTTCTGAAATATATGATTTAGCTTCTTTATGCTTTATAAATAATTTCTTCATTATATGTTTGCAAGCTATTGATGAAGCCATTTATGGCCAAAGTAATTAATGTTGTTAGTCAAATATGTACATTTTAATTCCAACACAGCACAAAATATTTGTCTAATCACAAGTTTACAGAGATTTTCATTTTCTTCACAAAATAGTTGATGACTATCTGTTTCAGCACATTTCTGTTTTTCTGCTAGTTTTCTTAACATAAAAATTTTGACCCATGTCTGGAATAAATAAATTTATCTACCCTACCAATAAAAACTTTCCTCCAAATTCATTTTATTTGAATTTTGTTAACTTTTTTTTTTTAATTTCCAAAATTTTGACACGGATTTTAATGAAAACTTACATACTTTGAGAGGGTTTCAAATGAAGCCAAAGAGAAAAATGGAAACACGATTGGAAGAAGAGTATTGGGAAGCTGATATAGAAGATTATCACTCTTGGCCGTTAAAGTCCTCAGAGCGCTCTGAGAGCCTAAACTAAAGAGAATACAATGAGTCTTATGATTTAAATACTAGGTCAATGGAGTCATTTCCATTTAAGATCTACATTATTTGCACTACAGTTTTCAAAGCTTACCTTGTGAAACTTTATTTAAGGGATATCAAATAATATCATGGAGAAAGTACTCAGTCACAGATCTGTTGAAAATTACCACATAGACAAGTTTGCTGCTAGGATGTATGAGGCCCTGGGGAAATATCTTTTTGATGGGGTACCTATTTATATATAAAATTTGAGTTAACCAAAATCAGACTGTAAGTACCATTGTGACAGCCCAATTTCTAGCTATCCTGCAAAAGAAATATAGCACCAATAAGCAGGAGAGATCTAATTGCCAGTTTATCTTCTAGAAACAACCATGAAGACAACCCCATAGACACTAGCTCTGGAAATCTATGGGGCATCTGGTCAACCCCTAGATGAAGTAAAAGGTCAGAGAGCCCTAAATGGGAGAAATGAACTGTGGGGCCTAAGTAGCTCCAGTCCAGCCCATGGTACCCTACCCAGAAGGCATTGCTGCCCACAGCTAGTCAAAGAAGGCGCAAGAAGGGATTTGGAAAGTTTTGAGGAAGTTACTCCAAAACATAGAAGCTCGCTGAGACCTGTGGCCATGACAGGAGACCTCACTTACTGAACTAAGGGTGGTATTCCACATATCTTCTGTTTATATGATTCCCCAATACAATTGTGGAATATAATAATCACTAAAATGTCTATGGTGAGATAATTGTATGTACTACAGGTATTGTAGTGTTTTCTGATTTGTTTTAATATAAGGGTAGATTTTTTATCTCTAAGACAAATGGTGGGGGAGCATAGCTCTAAAATTCTGTCTCATGGTTGTCTCAACTCTGCTTATGATGGAAGCTACACATCACATTGAGATTCCTAGAAAATGCCTGAGGAGAAGGTATCCTCTATTTTTTAGTAAAACAGATCCATCGGCTTTAGCTGCCAGAATTTTAGGTGATAAAGTTGATGTTTTATTTAATAATATATGAAACTGACTTTAATTCTATCCTAGATAGAGAAACATCTCACCTCTCAATGGAGGCGAAGAGAAAGGCTTTATGTAATTGCTTATAAGTTCTTGTTTGGTGCTCCAGAGTCCCACCTTTGTAAATGCTGTAACATTATGGAATTTATCCAATCATTTAATTATGTATTTATATTTATAAATATGTTTTAAAAGAAGTAGGTACAAGATCTAATCTATTATTAAATTTAAACTGTGTGATTTTCAAAAATATATGACTCTACATTCATATGGTTCTCAGGCAATATATATTTGTAGTGCAAATAAAACAGCAGTTGCAAAGATTTTCTTTCAAAATGGAAATTATTTAAAGTTTAATTAATTCTGTCTTTATGCTTTGAGATTTGTGAGTAGTAATATAATATAGGGACCAATTCAAACCATTTTGTACATGTGTGTACCAATATATAAAAATAGGTATACCCCTGCTTTTTCAAGAAATACTTTGAGATGGCTCATAGAAAAGTTAAGTATTATAAATAATATAGAACTCAAGACTAAGGAAAAAGGAAAATGAAAAATGCCAAGTTCAGTAGTCAACAGAGCTATTACAGTCAAGCTTCAAATTCGGGTTTCTCTTTCTTGGCAGCAAAAGAGTCCACAAAAAATATTAATTTGCATATTCATATTATTGGAAATTCCACTTATTTAGATAAAAAAAAAGATTTCCTACTTTCAAATCTAAAATAATATCCTCATATAGAAGTTTACATAAGAGACCCTGAGTGACTTAGTAGACACTAACCTCAATCAACTTACTTAAAGGAACAGATGTCAATACTGACACCTATTCAAGAAAGGCCCAACTGTGGTATTGCTTACAATGAGTATCACTTTACCTTGTATACAAAGTAATCACAAGAGTACTCAGAGGTAAAGCCAGTGTGTTCTTCAAAGAGATATTTTGGATTTACTACAAAACCTGAATAAATGCAGGTTCCACACTGCACAGTAAGATAGATGTTAACTTTATCTGCAAAAAATTTTAATTCAAATGTTAGCAGCACTCAAAGTGGTCATGAAAAACCCTGCATTATTACAGAGACACACACAAGACTGCACGTGCACACACATACATGTACACAAACATATGCACAGTAAGTTGAATGCTTATACCGACATATATAACTGGGTGCCTATGTCTCCGTGGTACTAAATATGTCATCATTTCAAAACTATGTATCAAGAAAATATTGTCCATTTTATCATCAAAGAAAAATTTCAAAGATTGGGTTGTCATTGCAGATGATCCTAGCGGTAATTCTTACATCTAAATTATTTAAAAGAACAAAAAGATGAAACATTGAAACATATATAAACCCTAAGTTCAGAGGTATCCATTTATGCAATATATTTTTGCTTGAGAATGCATTGTAACTTGAGATAGTACTAAGCTTTTGGGGGATATATATGAAGATCCTTAGATTGCAATTACAGTAGTTAAACTTTATTGAGTTTGTCCTTTGGATATTGTTTTAATTGCTCTACACACATAAACTTTTAAACTTCAAAGGAAGAAGTAGGAGGAAGATTATTGGTAGCCCCATTTTGTATATCATGAAACTGAGAAACAGAGAAGTGAAATAATTTGTCCATGACCAAGAAAGTAGTAACTAAGTGCTGGAGCTGGGATTTTAAGTCAGATAGTTTAGCCATGGTCCCTGGAGGCACAAACATTTGCACTCAGCTACTAACCCAAGGTTGGTGGTTTGAATCCATCTAGCGATGTTGTGGAAGAAAAGCTTAGTAGTGATTTACTTCCATAAAATTATAGCGATTGAAAACCTATGGAGTGTAGTTTTATGCTGACACGCATGGGTTCGCCATGAGTTGGAATCAACTCAAAGGCAATGAGTCTGTTTGTTTTTTGGTAGTCTAGCTATGGCATCAGGAAACAGCATGACATAATCTTATAAGACTCTTAAGATCTAACAGTAATTTCAATACTTCAAAAGTACTATAAAAGAGGCCCTATGGAGCCCTGGTGGCAAGATGATTAAGAGCTATGGTGAGCTACGGCTGTTAACCAAAAGGTTGGCAATTCAATTCCACCAGCTGCTCCTTGGAAACCCTATGGGTCAGTTCTACTCTGTCCTCTAGGGTCACTACGAGTCAGAATCGACTCCATGGCAATGGGTTTGGTTTTTGTTTTTGTTTTTGTTATTAGCGACCAAAAGAGCCCTAGTGGCACAGTGATTAAAGTGTTTGGCTGCTAACTGAAAGGTCGGTGGTTCAAACCCACCAGCCTCTCCTTGGGAGAAATATGTGACAGTCTGCTTCTGTAAAGATCTACAACCTTGGAAACCCCATGGGGCAGTTCCACTCTGTCCTATAGGGTCACCGTGAGTCAGAATTTAATCAACAGCAGTGAGATTAGGGACTGCAGAGACTCAGGAAGTTCTATGATTGATTGTGCTCCAAGATGGAGAAATTCAAGAAAGGCTTTGCAGTTGATGAAGTAGCTGAGCTAAGTCTTCAAGGATGATTTGATTTTTCCAGAAGAGGTGGTCTGAGTGAAAAAAAAAAGTTATAAGCACTGAAGATTGAATATTCAAGATGAGCCTAGGTAGCCAGAATACAATATAGATAGAGTAAAGCCCACTGTGGAGAGTAGGTAAATAAAGAAAGTATGGAAAGGAGAAATTCAGGTATTCAGAGCAGTAGTATTTGTTCCTAAAGATGTTAAGATCCACAAAAATATCTTGGTTGGGAGTTAATATGGACTTAATTGTACTTCTAGAA